AAGAGTACACTCAGGCAAAGGCATGGCCGAAACATCCATTAAGAAATAACTTTTGTCTGTTCTTAGATGAACGTATTTTCGGTTTCCACAGCAATTGAGCCCTCTATACGTATCTCGCATTCATAAGGAGTAAACTGTAATTGTATGCTTTACGGTCATGCTCCTAGTCTCAATGACCAGATTGTGTAATCACGTTTGTGTACTTCTGTACTTTGTGTGCATACGCAGTTGATGTTCCGAATGTCGATAGTCAACAACTGAAAGTCCGTGAGTTCAGCTTTATGCGCACCAGTTCTTCAGGTGCGATATCTGGTCTTTTCCACCTTGTGTAAAGTCGCCTATGCTACTTACGATGGTTGTTATCAGAAATGAATGAGATGAGGACAATATGCTGAATTTACCACCACGCGTAAGTCACGAGAGACAGCAGTCTGACGCTGTCTAAAAAGTCATTCATTACTTTTCATAGTCTTAGGAGTTTTGTGAACAACACCTTCATCAGATTCTTACCATGGTACCGATCATTCATCGGTTGAGCTTGATTCCATTCCAAGGCGTAGCAGTACTAGGTATTTAATATGCCCATCGCCATTTCGCTTTGTGAAACAGTGATTCTTCTGAGTCTCGCAGATAGTGCTTAAATAGGCTTATGACAGAGGGTATATTTTTTTTGTTCAAAAGCTTATCGAGCCTTATTGCACTAGCGGTTCTTCAACCAAATCTCACTCTAACATTCGACTTGTGACCATAAGGGAAGATAAATGACCCGCTTGAGGATAGATAACTTTGCAAGGCTGCTCGGCACCTTAGTCGACACTGACTGGTATAGCTCCCTTATGAGTGTTTGTCTGTCTGATTCGTGCATCTCTTTCTCCATCTTGCCTGCCGTCACTTGTAAATGCTGCCCGATATAATTGATGTTCTTCGCTTGCAAGAGTTGTGTTGCACGTACTTAGAGAAAGAACGATATAAAAATTTTTGAAAGTTCTGATTAGCAGTAGTAATCATGCTACCAATTTTAGAATTAAACATATTTTGAGAATGGTGTTTTTTAACTGCAGAGTTTACTGCTCATCGATAGGAGGAGAGCACTTTTTAGTCATCCGCAATGCATAGCTCTCTTCTGTTAGGTATTTCTGAAATTTAACTAGCCGTTTGTTAGTGCGTGATCAGAAAGAGAAATGCATAGATATAAGTCAGTTAGCTGAGATGAGCCAAATATGATGAAATTGATTCTAAGTATGGCTGTTCCTCTTTGACTGAATGAAGGAATCATCTGAACGCTATTTGCTATGAAGATTCGACCATCGTTCTTTACATGCATTATTTATTTAGTCATAATTGTTCCTTAATAAAGTTCCATTCTGGGTTCCGTATCAGCTCGTTTTCAACAGAAAGTCCTGACAAAGTATTCGACTCCCTCAGGCAAGACATTAACATGACTCTGCTTTCCAAGTAACATGATAATCAACATTATTTTCTGCTAATCAGCGATTGTCGATTCGATTGTCACCAGTGCGTAGGTTAAGACGAATTCCTGCAGTAAGGTGTGCGTTCCGGATGACAGATCAGTACCCCTTTGGTATGACTGTATCAGATCACTCTCTTGTGCCTATTAGTTCGCAGGTTAACAACTTGCAACATTTTCTCAGCTGTAGAATAGAGTATAGTTATATGTAGCTATATTGTACTATAGCTGTATTACTGTAGTTCTTTCCTTTATCTGACTTGTTTTCGTTTTAAGTGCGCCATGAACACAGGTTTACGCTCCTCCAGTATATGTTAATTATGTTCTCCGTTTTCTATCTCCACAGCTAGCTAAATAATTTAACTGTCAGATTCAGAGGAAGACAATACTTTGTGAAGCTTTGATCACTGGAGGATATTACTGTTGAGTGGTTGTCAACATCATTGCTTAGACCTATCGGAGCAGGCTCCTGCTCACTTTCAGGTTTTTACGTTGAAGGAAAATGAATACGACGGTGATTTTTTTCCTCTAAGGAATTATTGGTTAAGAAGACAAGTTTATACGCTGAGCCAGGGATTTTCTTTCAGTAGGTCTAAAGTGTAAATCATGTTACTAACCCCGTTGCATCACTGTCCCCCCACCCGTTAAAAAATAGTTTAGCTGAGTGTAGTTATGAAGTACGGACCTCTAGGTTATGTATCTAGAACGCTTTTTCTGTGTCATTTTGCTTTAATATGCAGGTTATTAAAGATTCAGAGATAACTTTTGATGTCGTATTTGCAAAAATCTAATGATTTTGTAATGTGGATTATGATTGTTAGCCCGAACCAACAAAGGCTCGTCTTGGTGACGTAAAAATGACCAGAGAACAGATCATGGCCTTGCTGAACAAAACCTCTACTCATGAAGCTGAGTTACGTTCGGTACGTCTTTTCTTTGCTTTTTTCATCTATGAAGTTCTAATTTTCTGCTTCAAAGGTCGATCAAGAACGAGAGCTTACATATTTCAAAGTGATGGAATGCAAGGAACGAAATGAGAAACGTTTAAGCGAGATCATGGAGCTAAAGGACTGCAAAGTGATCACCTGCAAGAAGGTAAGACTTCTGCATGAAAGGAATGTCGATATAAAATTTTCATCAAACAACAGTCAAGTATTTTTTCCCACCTTCAGTAATGCGTTGTGTTATATTTTATTCAGTGAGAGTAACGACGTGATGCTTCAGCGAGCTCTGTGAGAAAATAGATCAGGGTTGTAACTTCAGTTTCTTCTGCCCAAAATTTTCGTAACGGTATCCTTTTCGAAAGTGGATTTACTTTCATGGTATGAGGAAATACGTCCCCACTGGTTTCGATTGCCTCAGTAATCCTACAGCTTTGAGGTTCTTCATGGCGCGCTTTCACAATTATCACAGCGAACTATGTGAATGCACTTTTTTACCTTGATTTGTTTTTGTCATATGATTCCTCAGTTTGATCATACGTTAGATGATACAAGATTTGCTGCTTATAGTGTGATTATACTTGGCATGCGCAGTCGGATTTGTGCAAGCAGAAGGGACACAAGGTGACGCATCACGTGGCAACGAAGCGGTTTTTCAGGTGTCGCGAATGTTACACGCGATTCGTTCTTTATCAGCCGTATCCGACGAAACCCTGCAGCAATTGCAGATCGACGAATATCGTCAGAGTATCGATGAAGGAGGTGAGGTTTTCCATATCTTTTTGATAAATATGTACCCTTAAAGGTTTTGTAGCGACCTGTTTAATCAAAGTGTAGTCCTCATTGAATTTTTGCTGCTTTTTTCACTGATTCGCTTTATTCTAGGAAAGAAAGGGTCTGAAAACGCCATGTGAAAATATGAAAGCTCTTGCTGTAGGTCCGTTTAAAGAGGCAGACATTTAACGTCGTTCTTGACGTTGTGGTTGTTCCTTCTTCAGTAGCACGATTTGTTGAAACTTCTGTGCATTTTAGTTTCTAAAGCCTTATTGTTTTATATGTTCTACTTCGCTGACTTAAAAATTTTTATCTTGTCTGATTATGCTATTGTTATCTTTCTTTCTAGCATATGATGCTGAAATAACTGCACACAATTGTTTATTATTACTCAACCCAATGCAGTGTCAGCCGGAGATTGATCCGTTGCGCCATTATGTTGCAATGTGCAATGGAATACCATTTGTGCTGTTTTACAGTATGGCCGTCAAATCACAACAAAGTATTTCATCTTTGGATCAGTATGTGATATAATGCGTCTACCCATCGATTTCGAACGTTATTCATTCGATGAAAATAGATGGAATTTCCATTATTACGTATCGTCGATACGTAAGTTGAAGTGATTCACTACCAAGATTAAGAAGGCATGCAGTGAATCCCCACAAGTTGTGTGTTAAGTTCATGCCATCAGAAATGCAATAATTGTCATTGCTGTTGCGTTTAATCCGTTGATTACGTATGAAGTTTCAGCCAAATTGCAATGGTCATCCTCAGGGTAAATAAATGTTCATCTATAAAGCAAACAGTAGTTTCTGTTTCTTTGTGTCTAGGATCAGTTTTGCAGCAATTTACTGAAGAACAAGGCAGAATTGAAATGAGTTTCAGAAATAATGTATGTGGTAACATGTTTCCATCATGCCTTAGCAATGCGTTGTCAAAAGCATTGACTTCCGAATGGAGTCTGGATGCTCAACGCTTCTCTAGCCATTGAATTTTAAGGCGTTTTGCTTCCCTTAGAAATCTTTGCAATTTCATAATAGCCTTTGCTTTCTAAATGGTAAAATCAAACTTATGGGCTATAGCAAAAGTAAATTTAGAGACAATGAATCATGTCGATGATTAGATACAGAGGGAATGATTCGCAGAACTTGGATAGTCAAATCTTGAAAATGCTGCTCTAAGGCTGTCCTGAATTGCACATAACATTATCCCTGTAATCAAATTGCAGTTCCACAGCATTATTCATCTTCATCTTCCATCGCCGCTTCTCCTTTCGGGTCGCGGCATTATTCATTGTCATCTTAAATTTAAAACTGGCATTTGCTTACTTCTGTTTTAACTAGACCATCGGTGTTGAAGTGTGGTGACTGAAAACTTTTCTGTAGTTCCGGGTTAAGGCCAATACATTGGTTATCCGTTTGAATCGATAGATGCTCGTCATCCAGAGTAAGCAGAGTACGAGTAGCAAACCTACCCACATTAATTTGCGATGCTTATTTTGCTCTCTTGCATTAACGCCGTAAGAACATCTTTATTTTTGTATATAAATGAAGATTTCTAGAATCTATAACCTTTAGACAGAAAAGTATAGGTCGAATAAACATTCCCAATGCAAGCAAGTTTTCTTTAAATTCCTAACGTTTTCGATAGTAGTTTTCAATAAATCCAACATTAACGTGCAGTTCGCAAAGAACGGTAAGCCTCCGTTATAAAAAACATGCTGAGATGAAGTAGGCGATTTTGTTTAGTCATTGTGATAGCCCTGAACCCTGAACATTTAACCTATGGACACAGGGCCAACTATTAACCGAAGGCATAATTACGCCTTCAAGAGGAAAGTCAGACTGAACGAAGGGAGGTCTGACTACAAATCTTAAAATGAAGATCTGGAGTTGTAATCATTCATAAGCGTGAAACGAACGTCGCAAATTTTCCGGCAATATCGTTTAAAGTTCGAATGATGCAAGCAGTACTTTAGGCAGTCAGTTGCGGTAGGTTCATTGCAATTCGAGGTGTTTACCGTAAGAATAAGGCAGTTGGTATAAGGAGAAAAATATATGTATTGAAATTCCGTGCCTCCACGCAGGTTTTCATTATGAATGGATTCATCTGAACTAGTTCCTTCATTAGCACAGCATAAGTCTGTTTTGTCTCGTTTCATCGCGTATTCCAAGGTTTTTGCTTGTCCTGAAAAATCACATCTCGTTTTGTTATGAATTTGCAGCAGTAGCAGAACGAACCACGAGACAATAACCTCATTTGTCTTACTCTAAAAAATGGCTGATATAAAACTGACTCAAGTGATCCGCAGGTATAATACAAGAACCTAAAGTACACATTAGTAAATGATTTCTGAGACCCATTTCAATTTTTTGCCCTTATCTTCAGTAAGTTGCGACTTCCGTTGTTCAGTACAAAAGGAAACAGACTGATAGTAAATAATTGTTTGCTCTGAGGTTGCCACAATAGCTTGACAGAAACGCTGGCAATTATAGTAAAGATTTCCATCGGTCTGTTTCCTCATTTATGGAACAAATGACACAACAGCTTATTGCCTAAGCAATTTAACATGGTTATTGACAATACAAGAAAGAAAAAATCATAGATGAAAGAAATTCCAGATCGACGTCGTGAAGAATGATAACAATCTTCAAGGATTGGCTGAAGGCCTAGCTGATAACAAAAGAGTTAGAATGAAATAAACGCATGCCTTGCTAAATAGAACGTTAGAAGAAAAACAGATATTTTGATGTTTGACATATTGGCTGATTTGCAACAAAATAATTCATCTAATGACAGCAACATAAAATCAGCTAAATGAAACTATGTCATTGCACTAGATACTTATCTTCTAGTTTCTTAGAAGTTTTGTCTTTTGTCTTTTCCTTCCCCTTTGATGTTTCGATTGAACGCACATCATTACTGAAAAGTAAGCCTTTTCTGAAGAAACCTTTGGAGTTACAGATTTTCTGTTTATGGTGCAAGCTGGACGAAATTTTTCATGATATTCTCTACCCTTTAGGCATATTTGACGTTTCATGACCAAGAAGACGTGAAATCCTGATGAGTTTAATGGATTGATGTGAAAAGTGAGAAAAAATGGCATTTATCGCATCATTTCGGAAAATAACTCCTTGGAACTGCGCAACGATTATTTCGTGATCCGTCTGAGCAAAGGATATGTGTTGTAATCAAACCTTTTATGCCACAGCAGATAAGCAAATTATCGAAGAAGAGCATATTCTTATTTGTTTATAAAATCGATCGATATTTTTTTTGTGCCTAGACGTTTACCTATAAATGCATAGGATATATCAGATTTAATTTTTTATTCAATATGAAACAATTTATATAGGAATCAGGATGATTCTATGCATCCGTCGAATTCGAAAGCTTCAGCCGTTTCAGCGGGACCATCTCTGACCATTGTACGTTGTATAAAGCTTCGGACTAGTTTGGCGAAACCGTCGTTTTACAGTCAACGATTTAGAGCTTGTCTAAACGAGCGACTCAGTGATCGAGTTTCCGGTGCGCTTAACTGCCCTCTTATTTTTGAATATTGGACTCACTCTGACCAAAATTATCAAGTCTAGTCCTGATCATCAGGCAAAGAAGCGAGTGTTCAATTCTTTGGATTGGAATTTCATCGAGGAACCGATGAACCAGTGTACTCGACGACCGAGCCTGGAAAATGTCACTATGAGCATCACAGATTTATCGCAATCCAAACCCCCGTTTCGGTGAAGAATTACGGTATCCTTCAATAGCTGGCACACCGTTTCGAACCTGCAGTTCCATTCACTGCTGCAGCTTCTTGTGACGATTCTCATCGTACTCTTGTGCCTTAATTGCCTTACTCTAACGCGGTTGTTTTGGGGATGATGAACAATGAACGCGTCTATATAAAGCTATTATAGCAGGAAACAAAACTGCTGGCAGATAGACAGTGTCTACTACTTGGGCCAAGAAAATTAGATTCTTCCTATCATATCGATTTCCGCAACGTGAAAATCAGCCGTAGTGATTTTATCAAAACTTGCACATTTATCTTCAAATATACAGTGGTGACATTTCACTCAATTTAAATGATATATGCACAAGAAAAAAAATTATTAGGTTTTCCTATAGGCATCAGGAATAGGCAACGATTTGAATTAACATATTATTCTGTTCGTTACTATTCAAGGTACACCTGCATTATTGCCATATTAGGTGTATTAGACATTTGTTGTAGTCATGTTTAAAAATATTTGTCGCAGAATCATGACTAAACGACTGCAGTTTGCTTTAAGATAGGTTTAGCTTATTCAGCAGGGTTTCAGCAAGCCTCTTCAAACATGTTTCGTCTTACGGCATCCCACCGCAGGTTAATCACCGGCGTCATGCATTTTCTAAAGGATCGATCATAAGTCCTTATCTGGCAAAAATGTTTACTTAAGAAGGCAGCTTTCTTTGATGTACTTTGATGCCTTGTGAGGTTTGCAGCTCTTTCATACCCTTCGTCTGGCATGAGTCAGTATGCCGATCAAATATTTTTCAGCTTCACTCGCACAGGCACCATTGCATTGCGCAGTAGAATGCGCATAATTATTAACAAACGACGTCACAACCCCACCGCACTGGAACACTTGACACACACGGACTGGGAAAGCGCGCATAGGTGGATTGTATCTAAGCTTGACCTTAAGTCTTCAGGAATTTCGACCATGCAACTTAAATAAAAGGCACGACAAACCTGATACCTTTTCGTCACATCAGTACAACAGTATGGGAAATGTAACTAGGTTTGATTACTCAAATCATGTCATTCAAGTTAAACGAGTCATTTCGCTTTCTGTCTAATTATTATTGATCTGATATCATGTATCAAGCAAGTCAGGATATTCAATTCAAAATTCAAATGAATTTGATAAAATAACAGCACGAAATCGGTTAATTACCAGCGATACGGCTGCTGGAGCAAGAGTTGCATTCAAGTTATTCCTTGCGAATAGTTTTAACAAGTCATTAGAACATTCTGATGACAAGCTTCAAAGTGTATCGCCTCGTTATTTGTGATCAATACCGTTAGTTCAGAAACTGGGAAATTTGCACGCATGCTTTTCTCATTGGATGTGGCAGCTGTTTTACAGGCTCTCTCTCTGTCGAGTCTAATCCTGATCCTCCGTTGCCATTCACCGTAATGA